ATACTAAGTGGTTAATAGTTTTATCATGTTGTTCACACAATCTACATATTTGACTTGCACCTTTTTTTTCATTATATTTGCTAGGTAATTCCTGGTGAATAGGATTTGGGCCTATGCAGCCATTATCATTATTATTATTAAAAGAGCAGCACTCAAACAAAATAACACTGGTATACAAATATTCAAAGCCCAATATACCCATCAGTTTGATTAGAGTATACTAAGCACATGCATCCCAGCCAAATATGTGTATTATGGTGACTGGTTTTGATAAATGCAGTGCATAACCTTATACGTAGAATCCAGTTACAAATACCTGATAGATAGATAATTGGATATGAACAGACTGAAATAGATAGATAGATAGATATGAGCCGATTGCAATAGATACAGAATGCAATGGACAAATTGTCGCCATTTTCTATTTTTAATTTTGCACATGCACGCTGTTTGTTTTTGACTTTGTCAACTGGACAGTCTAGTAGGGTCAATTGGGCACCATTTGTGAGAAAAAGAACACCATGATGCAATTCAATCCACCAGAAATTTAGAAACAGCATACTGTACTGCTTGGCATTTGTTCCGGAAACTCCAATGCAAACATTTCAGAGTGTTTGGGTGTCAATTTGAGGACAGTGCAAAAGATTCAGAAAGAGTTGGATGATATATCCATTCAACATCATGGTGTTTGGTGTGATCACTAGTGATGTTGATGTTATGCCTCCATTTATCTTCCCACTGGGCCTCAGACTCAACACAGAGGCCTACATCAAGTGTTTACATCAAGTGCCTTGAGGATGTAGTGCTGCCATGGATCAAGAGGGTGGCTGCTGGAAAGTCCTATGTCTGGCAACAGGACTCAGCACTATGCCACACAAGCAGGAGAACCCAGTCATGGCTGTCAGACAATTTCTGCAACTACATCACTCTTTACATCTGGCCACTTAACTCCCCAGACTGCAACCCTTTTGATTATATGTGGGGTGCAGCTGAATGAGAGACAACAAAACTCCTAGTAACACTAAAGTTGAACTGAAGGCAGCATTCACCATCCAGAGTTGCAAGTGATTTCAAAGTTGCCTGGAGGCTGTAATTGAAGCCAATGGTGATTTTATTGAATAAATTTACTCTTTAGTTTTTCAAGATATTTTTGTGTAATTTTGGTAAATATATCTGTTAAAATGAGATGTCGGTGTTATTTTCATTTTTACATAATTTAGATGGCAATTTATCCATTGCATCCAATAGATAGATAGATAGATAGATAGATAGATAGATAGATAGATAGATAGATAGATTATATCAGGTAACCCAGTCCACTTCATCTAAAATTCTAATTGCTCTGAAGTATCTAGATATGACTCCCAAGTTGCTGTGGCTGCCTCATACTCCAAACTTAAAAAAGGCAACCCTCTTGACACCCAGCCATGATGCGCCCCAGCCACTTATGGTCATAGACAGATTCAAAGTCCATCAGCCTCTGGAGGATATGCCCAACTGGTTTTGGTTTCAGCAATCCATGGTACTTTTTTATTTTGTAATCATTTCACCCCAGCCAAGGAAATAAAGTCAAAGGTGAGGAGACAAAAAGAGTACAGGATTTAAGGAGACAGAAAATGTTGCATTTAAATGAAATATAAATATTGAATGGGATATTTTACTGTAGCCCATCTTAATTCACTAAGACAAAACATATACATGTTCACACTCCCCACCAAGAACTGAAACCATGAAAGCTATATATGGTGCATCCTCTTCCTCCTCCTCCTCCACCACCACCTCCTATTATAACTGTGCTTGTTCCTTCCTTCATTAGTTCACACAACTATCATTTCCTGCCAATATCTCATAAATAAATGGACTATTCAGTTTTGATCAAGTGCAAAGAGTGGAAAAGACACTACTTGGTTTCAGTGAGAAAATAAAAGAAAGAAAGAAAGATAGAAGTGTTTAATGGCTGTTTCAGTGAAATGGAAAAAGTTGTCAATTTCAAATTTTTAAATTTATACTCACTTCTTAAAATAACAACCAACATTCCTATTTATGATTGTTATTGCAATATTTTGTTAAAGTTGTTAAGCTCAAATATTTAACGATGCAATAGGGGAATTTCTACAGATATTTTATTGTCATAGAACTTGCCATGAGCTTACTCAACCAGTAACTTAAGATTTAAGATTCATCAGAAAATTCAAATAGGAAAACCATGAAATTTTCACAGGTTAAAACTAGTTATTATTTTATTTCCTTTTATTTCTGTTGTATACTCATTCCCTTCTGGGTCCCAACCAGAGATCTAAGGTCAGAAATGGCATCATGATATTTTCTATAGAACATTTTCGTAAAAAAATAAATAAAAAAAATTAATATTAAGAGATAAATAATAAACAATCTAAAATCACACAGTAAAGTGTGAGCTTATACTTGTGAGAACAATTTTTTGTATTTCTTTAAGGCATGAGTTACCAGAAATCCCTTCAATGACTATTAGAACCTTATTTCCTTTTTATTAGCATCATTATTAGTAGTATTATCTTTTTTATTTACTTGCATTTCTATTGTATACACATTTCCTTTAGGGTGCCAACCAGAGACCTAAGGTCAGAAATGGCTTCATGACATTTTCCACTGATCATTTTTGTAAAAAAAAAAACAAAAAAAATCCTAATAGCAATCACATTTTACATAAATAAAACTCTTCGTAATGTGTGAGCTGTACTTGTGAGTACAATTTTTTTGTATTTCTTTAAGGCATGGGCTACCAGGAATCCCTTCAGTGAGTCTATCAGAACCTTTTCCAATCAATCCGAGGACTCCAACACTAACTAGAATTATTGATGTCCTCTTGTGCCACATTTTTGAGATTTCAATTTCAAGGTCCTTGTATTTTGAAACTTTTTGAAGATCTTCAATGATACACTACAATCTTCTTCTGCTTCTTATTATTATTATTTTTATTATTATTATAATCATTATCATCATCATCTTCTTCTTTCTAAAACAAATTCTAAGATTTTCTAAATTTATGTTGTAGATTTTTACATATGAAAATAACATTGGAAAATTTAGTGCATCAGAGATCTTTATTTTTCTTTTACTGATCTCTTAATATTTTCACATGCAAAAGCTACAAATAATCAGGCACTACTTGAGGATATGGTTCCAATAATCTAACCTGTACAACTAACACAAAAGAAACAGGAATAAAATGTTAACCTGTGTACAACAAAACAGATTATGACACTTACAATCAGCACATAATCTACAATATAAGAAAAAATCATTGACAATATAATCTTGAATGTTATCAAACAACTGTATAAACTAAAAACACCTGTTTTAATTCCTTCCAGACAAAGCAAAAGGTTTACAGGAAGAATAGAAGAAGAAAAAAAAAAAACATATATCCACGAAGAAACATGGAATCTTATTTTTACTTATGCACACAGATATGAACAAAATAGAATAAAATGAGATTGATAGATAGATAGATAGATAGATAGATAGATAGATAGATAGATAGATAGATACAGACTGAGATAGATTAATAATGAACATACTAAGATAAAGAGATATAACAAACTGAGATAGATAGATAGATAGATAGATAGATAGATAGATAGATAGTCTAAGATAGACAGGCAGATATGAACAGACTGAGGTAAATAGATATGAACAGACTGAGATAGATAGATAGAGAGATAGATAGATAGAGACTGAGATAGATTAATAATAAACATACTAAGATAAAGAGATATAACAAACTGAAATAGATAGATAGATAGATAGATAGATAGATAGATAGATAGATAGATAGATAGATAGATAATGAATAGTCTAACATAGACAGGTAGATATGAACAGACTGAGGTAAATAGATATGAACAGACTGAGATAGATAGATAGATAGATAGATAGATAGATAGATAGATAGATAGATAGATAGATAGATAGATATTGCTGAAAGTGCCTATCAAGCTCTAAATAAAAATGGTGAAACTCAGGCTGTTGCTTTGGACTTCTCAAAATTGTTCAACAAACGTTCTTCTTCACAAGTTGAAAGTTATAGCATCTCCAGACAAATTTTTGAACTGATTCAGCCTTTTTTATCGAATTATGAAATGAAAGTTGTTCTGAATGGCCACTTTTTAGATTCTTTTGTAGTAACACAGGTGTCCCCCAGGGCTCTATCCTTGGTCTTACTTGATGACACAACCATTTACTCCTGTGTCTATAGTAAATCTGATCAGTTCAATAAAGTCAAATTGGCACCTGATCACAAAAATGACCTACAGTCTGTTGTTAACTGAGGCAAAGAATGGCTTATTAATTTTAACATCTCCAAAACACTTCTCAAGCTAACAGTGTCATCTGACATGAAGTGGAAAGACTATGTTAGGAAGTTGGTTCACTGTGTTGTGCTAGACAGTTTTTCAGAATCAGCAATATTATTGGTCCTGACCAGGCATCTTGGTTTCAGTCACTTTCCCACTGCTATAAAGTTGCCTCCCTGTGCCTTTTCTATAAATACTTTCATGATAATTGTTCAAATGAGCTCTTTGCTATCGTACCTAGACTACATGAATTTAAGTGCAGTACTAGATTGGCAAGAAGGCCTAATCAATTTACAGATAAATTGCTAGATGTAACTGTAAGTTTTATGCTAACAGTTTCTTTTCTTGAACTTCTTGCTTGTGAAATTCTCTTCCATCTCTATGCTTTCCAGCCAACTTTGATCTTCAAAAATTTAAATGCAATGTTAATCATTATCTACTGTCTTCTGGATTACTGTTCTGTTGTTCTCACTCCTTAATAATGTTTCTAATTATTTTACTCTCGGTAACTCTTTTGCCACTGCCTTGAATGGGGTGAATATGATTTTAAAAAATACAGACAGATAATGAACAGACTGAGATAGACAGACAGATATGAACAGACTTGGATAGATAGATAGATAGATAGATAGATAGTAGTAGGTGATACACCTCACATCCAAGCATCATGATCATCATCCTCTCTCCTTATTCCCTTTCTCCTATCTGGTGGCAATGGTGGAGATGGTTGTGAACGCCCAGCCTACTTCTGAAAAGTAAGGGAGTTTGACAAGGCCATTTGCATAAATTTGATTTTGGTGGACAACTATACGCAACAGAAAAGCTCACACTCTTGGCCAAAGGTGCCTCCTTTGAGACGATAGATAGATAATACCTGAATGAAACAATTACTTCAGAATTCAATGAATTGAAGAATAATTTAAATAAAAAACTACAAGTGTTGGTAAGAATGAAAAAATATTCAGTAAATGTACTTCAAGAATGGTTTGCATATAGCAAGACTTATGGCTGATGTAATGGAATAACCTGTCACCCCCATGAATAACTACACTATAGGTAGTAACTACCTATAAGTATCGGTAGGTCAACAGACTACAGAGTCTAGCTGCAACCTGTTCCAGCTAAACAGTCGAACTCTCTGCCTTTGGGCAGAGAGGAACCCGGACGAGGCTCCACTGAAGGGCAGAGTCTCGTTCGGGGAGGTATACTGCCCCTGAACCCGTTTATGAGGGTTCAAAAGGGATTATTTTTGGCCAAGTCTACGGACTCGGAGAACCCACGTTAAACTGGCCTTGTGTCACATGCAACCTTCATGGTGGGGTAGGTAAATATACTAGCTAGGATCTTTTCCAGCTAACCAGTCGAACTCTCTGCCTTCAGGCAGAGAGGAACCTGGACAAGGTTCCACCAAAGGGCAGAGTCATTCGGGGGAGGTAGACTGACCCTGAACCCGTTTATGAGGGTTAAAAAAAGGGAATTTTGGCCGAGCATATGGACTCGGAGAACCTACGTTAAACTGGCCTTGTGCCACATGCAAACCTCGTGGGTGGGTAGCTAAATATACTAGCTAGGATCTGTTACTCAGAACTTAGCTGTTGTCAAACTCTTTGCCTTCAGGTAGAGAGAAACCCAGACAAGACTATGCCAAAGGACAGTCTTGTCTGGGGAGGTAGACAGACCCGAACCCATAAATGGTAAATATTTCTAGCCGGGATCTGTTGAGTACAACTCAGATTTATACAATAACTACCAACCTTTCAATAGTAGTACTCACTACTGGATTGACTTGTGACGATCATGCACATAACTGTTACCTTTATTCTTATTGTACTGGTTTTTACAATAAACCTTTACTTATTCTATCCACTGTGTTTGTCAAGTATATATTCCTATTAGCAAGGAATATAACAATGGCAAACATAACTAATGTTACGTAATTTTCACATTCCACCTTGATCAATGGCAGCAATCAAAAGTGATTTTTTTAAAAATATTTCTGTTTTTGTAAGTTGCAAAGTTAAAACGATTATAAAAAAAAAATGTAGGGAAAATAATGTCTTAGAAATATTTCTAAACTTTAACATCTGTTGCAAAGTACACGGCTTTCTTTTTCTTTTTTCTAATTTTTGCAAGGAGAATAAAAGCAATGCTGTCAAAAAGGATTTTAAAGAACTATCTCACAGTATGAGATCTTCAACTATGAACCGTTCCTAGTGATGTTATAGAGTTTTGAATAATGTAATAAGAGTTTAATTCTTTTTATATTCCCAGGAAAAATAACATCTTTTGCCAAAATAAACAGAGTTTAGAGATTCAAATATTCTCCAGAAAATGATGGCGGTCGGTCTATTTTGAGATTTCGACAAATTGCTATTTTCTCTGTATTCCAAAAACAGCTGTAGGCTTTTTCTTTGTTCCTTTCTTTCTGTCGCGTGTACTCCTGCATGTGTTAGTTAACAAAACATTTTCAAATTGTTTGCGAACAGTTAACACACGCAATCACGCGACACCTCGCTCTACACATCATATCCTGTTGATGCAAGATCAAAACGTCTCAATCAAATTGTCGCTGTCCTATTCTTCTTTTTAGTTCTTCTCTTCCTCTTCCCAGTCAGTAGCTAAACCGGTTGTCCCCTCCTGCCGTCCTCACTTGTCGACGATTGAGTGAGTGAGTGTTTGTTGGTTTTTATTTTTTTTTTAAAGAACATATTTGAGTACAAAACGAGAGATGACGGGAGTGCCCGAGTCATCAACCACGAAGCCGGAATCGTCGACATTTTAGTTAAATCAGCTGCAAAGAGACGCGGTGAAGGGGGAAAAACAACTCGTCTGTTTCTCTCTTTTTGCCCGGGACCGCGGAAAAGACAAAACGGATGTGTCCCGGTTTGAGATCTTTTGCGATGTCAAAAACTCTTTCTTTTTATAAGGAACAGTGACTGACTTATAGCAGACATCTCATCAAGAAGTCATGGTGGGTCCGGATTTTCGCGGACGAACAACAACGGCGAGAATTTCTTTTGTTCAACTGATCAGAACTGTTCTACGGACACAACGAAGGCAAACTGTACCGCCTGCTTTATCCAATTGTGTTAACCGCACAAAAGTTGAATCATAAAAGAAGTATTGCCTCAGCAGGAATTGAGTCACATCTTCCTTCCCGATGTTTTACAAATATGCACAGAAGTCAGGAGCTGACTGAAAAATTCTCACTTATTTGGAATTTTCATACAGTCTGAGCGTGATTTGAGATACAGCAAATTATTTTTTCTAATGTTACAAATAATTGTTAATGTTATTTCTTTATCTGGCTGTCTCTCTCACACGCACACACACACAAAACATTACAAAAGTTAAACTTTTAGTTTTTTTTAGTCATGCTAGGTCACATTTTTATCTATATAAAATTCTGTGACTTCCGTTTGTCTGTCCGTCACACACTCTCTAAAATATCCATACAATGTATGACATATATTGATTGATTGAAACCAAATTTTTGAGAGAAGTGCAAACAGGTAAGGAGATACAAAGTGCAATTGGTTTTGCTAGGGTGTGTAAAAAACACAAAGAAGGGTTTTTGTCAAAGTATTTTTCCAAACAAATCAGCTTCTTCAAATTTCATTAGTTGGTTTACGAAATTAAACAAAATGCAGTTTGTAAATATTGACAAAAAATGTCCATGATAGCTTCAATAATACTAAATACTGTGATGATTTCAACATGTTGACACACGTTGCAAAAAAATTCTAGTATAATAGGGTTCTACAGAAGGATGCTGAGAATACCATGGATGGAACATGTAAGCAACAAAGAAATCTTAAGGGAAATGGAAACAAATAAGACACTGATATTCAAAATCAGAAAGTGACAGCTGAAATCTCTTGGACAGATAATGAGGAAGGAGGTCTTGTATAATTTGACACTCACAGAGCATACTGAAGACCAAAGGGACAAGGGGCAGCAGGTCACCTACCTGACCAGCTTTATGTGAATGGATGGTGGAAACAGGAAAAGACAAACATAAGATCTAAAAAAGATAGGAAGTCATGGAGAATTATGATCACCCACAGTCTGAAGAAATATGGCTCATAAAAGATACTGGTACCTATTTTGAATTTCAAAATTTACTCTCCTGAAATTCATATATATATATATATATATATATATATATATATATATATATTAAGACACTTTTATGTTTATACATTCTTCTTATAGATACAAATATTTAAGTAAATGCTCTGTTTATAATAAACAGTTTTAAACAACATTTAAATTTACTGTCTTTAAACTTCAATCTTCCATGACAGTAAATTTGACCTTGCTAACCAAACGCTCCTCTGTAGCCAAATTGGTTAAGGCACATCAAGCTTAATGATGGTTCCATATAGGATACACGTTCGAATCCTGTCGGAGGATGAATATTTTTATGAAAATTTCTTGGGCATTCAGGCCGGTAAATGTTGTTTAATACTGTTTATTATAAACAGAGCATTTACTTAAATATTTGCATCTATAAAAAGAATGTAAAACATAAAAGTGTCTTAAAAAAATTGTCGGACTTTTTCCATTTCATTATATATATATATATATATATATATATATATATATATATATATATATATATATATATATATAAAAGAAAAGAGGAAAAACTATTCTTCGCCAACGCATTTCTTCCTCTGTGGGATTTTATCAAGGTAAATGTAGGATGTATTTTGTTGCACATGTTTGCAAGGATGTCATTGGTTTATCAAGGCTTTTGAATTTGAGAATGTTCATGAATATTCATCAGGTGATTGAAAGGTCAGTCAAAAATATATGGTGGACACAAAGTGCCATAATTCAAAGTCTGGTAAGACAAAAGTAACCTCGTAATATTCAAGAAATATATTTTTAAATAAATGAATACTGTTTAATTTTTTTTTAATTTGAAAGCCAATTGCTCTTATATATAAACACATGCAACAAAATATATCCTACAATTGCCTTGGTAAAGTCCCTCAGAGGATGAAATGCGTCGGCTAAGAATGTTTTTTTCTCATCTTTTTATTCATTTTTTTTTCCTTTACAGATACACTCTATCTGAAAATAATTTGCACACACACACACACACACATATATATATATATATATATATATATATATATATAAGGGCTGTCCACTTGTCAGGTGACCATGACTGACAACAAACACTGACTTCATGTCAAATGTGATATTGATCTTGGGATCGACAGTAACTCTTGAAGCCAGCAAGAGACTTTTGTTTGCTGCATACACAACATACTATCTAGTTCTTTAGATATTAAAACAGTTCTTTGAACAGGTGAAGAGCTTTCAGGATTGTCAGCAAGAGTTCTTACATTATATTCCAGTAAGAGACATTCAGTTTGAAGTTTCTTGTTCTTGTTTGATGTGTTCAAGCTATAGTTGTAAAAATGACAAATGTTTTAATGTCATTCCTTTTAAAAGAAAGAGAGGCATCCCTCTAGAAGAAGTAAAACTTGTTTAACAAACCAACTCTATTAGCTATACCATACTTGTTCTTCTTCTTCTCCAAGTACAAAATGGACATCCACCTAATCTGACCTGATAGAGGTAGGTAAATTTTGGTCACCTTTTCTAGACCACATGCAGTGCTTATTTCCTTGAAAAGGGCTGCGTAGGTC